GGAGAGGGGTCGGAGGGTCCTACGGTGCGGCGCGTCAGCTTCACGCGGTTCGTGCAGAGCTGCAAGGGAAAAGGTCTGCAGAGGGGGCAGAGGAGCCTGCACCAAACGGAGAGGGCACGGCATACATAGTAGACGTGGGTCAGGGACAGCGAGGCGAGGGGTCGCGTGTCGTCCATGGTCGTGGCGGCGGCGGCGGCGGCAGCAGCGGCAGCCCTGTGGGTAGAGAGGGAGCGACGGGGTGTGTCGGCGGTCGGAGGCCTATGATCAGAGGCCTGATGAACAACCCCTCTCCGAATTGAGGACGGTACCTGAGGCAGAGGAGAGTTGGACGGTCAATGGGAGGCAGGCGTGGCGGTGGTGGTGGTCGAGGCCAAAATATCGAGTCTTGGGCGTCTTTGGCGTCTTTGGCCTCGAGACGAGACATGTGACGCCAGTGGCACATTCCCAGGGTCTGGGTCTGGCTCTGGGTGTGGGGAGGTCAGGAACGACTAGAGATGCTGACATAATCGCACACCATTCGTGGCTTCCAGGCGTCAGCACCTCTCTCGCTGTGCTACCGGGCAGGTGCTCCCTCGTGGGGGCTACTGGCAGGTGCTGCCCGGTAGGTAAGGCGTCAGGTACGGTGGCAGGTACTGAGGCAGGTACTGAGGCCCTGCTCAGGCCTCATCGTGCTCTCGGCGAGGCGGCGAAAGAGTCATCCCACGACCTCTTGTCCGCCACCACTTTCTGGAGCACGCCGTCTGGAAGCAAAGGGCGGCGCAGAGAAGGGAGCGAAAGGTATAGAACAGGATGACACGATCGACCGCCATCTCGCCGCTCCGAGATTCTCGATTCCATCTCAGGGCAGCCAGAACAAGCCATTGGGCACCTTTTTGAACCCTGGCTGCGTGAGTGTGGGTTGTCGACCCGACCGACGAATCTCGCCTCATCGCCACTACTTGGTACAAGGCTACTCAGTGCATCACTGATGGTACATGACTACTCAGTACATCCACCTCAACTCATCATCACCTCAGCACAGACAACACAACGCATCGCTCATGATTTGACTACCACTGCCTTCACGCGCAAACAACTCATTCGCATCTGCATCTGCATCTGCTTCTGCATCTGCATCTGCTTCTGCATCTGCATTACAGTACATCTCTTCATCTATGCATATCCAGACGACAGCCTCGTTATGATCTCGCCGCCCCAGACGCCACATCAACACCAACACCACCACCACCACCACCATGGACGATGACGATGGCGCCGACGAGCGCTACATCGAGCTCGAAACCCTCGAGGCCATCTTCCCCGAAATTCAGAAACACACGCCCGTCCCCGCCACGCCGACGAGCCTCGAGTTCTCTCTCGAGCTCCCCGTCCATCCCGCCAACCCCGTCACCGTCCTCTTCCCCGCCGCCTCGGACCCGGCCAACCCTCTCACCACCCAGGATGCCACCACCTCCGCCGCCACTTCTGCGACCGCCCAGACCGGCGACGGCCCCGTCGACTCGCACGAGCTCGTCCATCTGCCCGCCGTCCTCCTGCGCATCGCCCTGCCGCCGGGCTACCCCGCCGAGCAGCCCCCCGCCGTCGCCATCACCACGACGCCGCCCTGGCTGACACCGGAGACGGTCGAGAAGCTCGAGCGCGACGGGCCCCGTATGTGGGCCGACGCCGGCCGCAACCTTGTCGCCTTTGACTACATCGACCACGTTCAGCAGGCCGCTGACGCTGTCTTCCACATGATTGACGCCGCCGGCACGCTCCGCATCGACCCCTCGCACAAGCTCGCCATTCTCGACTACGACATTCAGGCCCGCCGCGCCGCCTTCGCGCGCGAGACGTTCGACTGCGGCATCTGTCTCGGTGAGGATGCCCCCTCTCCCCTCCCATGCGCGAACTTTTGTAATTCAAATGTCACTGCACTTGGTGTACATTCCCGCCTTCCTGCTGCCGAGCTGATCTCGCCAGCGTGTGACAGTACTCTTCTTGGGGTAGTGAATCACGACTGCTAACATTGCGCAGAGCCCAAAAAAGGCGCCGTCTGCCACCAGATGCTCGACTGTCGTCACGTCTTCTGCGCCGCCTGCCTCCTGGACTTTTACGCCACCGCCATCACCGAGGGCGACCTCGCCACCGTGCGATGCCTCGCCCCCAGCTGCGCCAAAGACCGCGCTGCTGCCGCTGATCGACCTGCTGCCGGTCCTGCTGCCGGTCCTGCTGCCGCACGCACCGCCGCCGCCAAGAAGAAAAAAAAGGTCAAGACCTTCATCAGCCCGAGCGAGCTCCTCCAGATGGGCCTCTCCCAGGAGCTCGTCACCCGCTACGTTACCCTCATGTACAAGACGGAGCTCGAGTCGGACAAGAACACCGTCTATTGCCCTCGCTCCTGGTGCGAAGGCGCCGCCCGCTCCAAGAAGCACAAGAAGCCTTCCGGTCTCGAGCTGGGTGAGGCGTCTGACGATTCGGACGACGCCGACGCCGACGCGGAAGCCGAGGGCGGCGCCATCACGAAGCAGAAGAAAAAGAAGAAGAAGAAGAAAGCCGCATATGACCCCGCCGATCTGCTGTCTATCTGCGAGGAGTGCGGCTTCGCTTTTTGCAGCCGGTGCTGCCAGTCCTGGCACGGCGAGTTCGTCTCGTGCATGCCTCCGCGCGACACGGGCGGAGCTCTCCGCCGAGAGCAGGCCTCGATAGACTACCTCAAGCTGCACTCTACGCCCTGTCCCA